CCTTTAGAACTCTAATTTAACCTAGAAAACCCTTGTATGATTATCCCGAGACCTTTGGGAATGAGTGAGAACTTGTTGTGGCACGGAAAAACAATAAGAACCAAGAACTCTTTGTAGCACTAGTGACACCAATAATGATATATATATTTAATTTAATATTTGTTTTCTAAAGTTAGTCTCACATAGAATATTGGTGTTTTATTCTAGGTTTTATAGAAACAATAGAGCATTAGAATTTTCTTTAACATTACAAATCTTAACCCTTTGAATCCATTAATCTTAACCCTTGAGTCCACAAAGCTTGAGTTCTAGTGCCATCATTGAATTTCACAGGCAAATATGTTTTCCATCCACATGTAAAATATTATCAAGTTGATATTAAATTAAAGGTAAATAATTATTATTCATTTTCAAAAATCAGTCGTATCACTCTTAATCATCGATGAGTCGATGACAACAGCACCGTATGGATTCACTAAAATGGACAACATTTCTCCTAGATTTTACTAGGGAGATGAAGATTCTTAATAAATATATAAAAGTAGCCTGAGTTTATAAAGTCCTCCAAAAGCGTTTAGCTGAATCGTGGATGTTGTCTGATGTGTAATGGACCATACATAATAATAATAATTATATAACTAAAGCTAAAATAATCATTTTATATAAAATTACTATCTATTAATAATTATGATTCTAATTTCTAACTAGTACTTATTTGTACAACGAAGGCATGAAAAAGCCTTGCTTTTTACACGTGACAAATCTTAAAGGCACACGCTTGCCCGCGAACTACACACACGCACTAACGACACCGTTCCATTGCACGATAATCAATTTTCATACCAGGGTCCACTAATCCTATCGTTGCATTTACTTCATCATTTGTCTTTATTTCTAAAATCAAAACATATTTTAATCTATTTCGAATATTTTAAGATATGGTATATCATTCAAATTCATTCTAAAATTTTCTATTGTTGCAACTGAAGTTTATTCTATTTAAATATGTAATTTGGTTGATTATAAATTATTATCATTACAACTAATGGTATGTATTTTGTTTTTAACCAATATTATACAGGACACATGATGTAACTTATTCCTAAATGCAATAATAATATAAATTAGAATCTTTAAAAAAATATTTTTTATATGTATTTTATTATAACCAATAAAAAAATATTTTGTATTGAGATTGTAAAACTGGTAATGTGAGTATTAAAACGATAACAAGTATGCCACCATAGTATAAAAACTGATAAATAAGCTGATAAAGTTTTTAATTACTACACCAACTTTGTAGTAAAATAACCAGAACAATTTATGAATTAATTTTAAATTTATAATTATTAACTGATAATTTCAACTTAAATATGTAGCAGAGACTTAGGTATTGATTGATGGTTGATGCTTGAATTAAATCTAATTGAGTCAATGTCTGAATGGGTCACAATAATTTTGAATCTGACCAAATTAAAACATATTAAAGGAGACATGAACCAATTTGAGATTTAAATATAATATGAAACGGTTTAAATCTGATTGTGTAAGCCACACATAAAAAAACATAGAAACCCTAAATACCTTTAATAAAATGTAAATTAAAAAATATATATATAAACAAACAAACTAGCACTAGTTCCTATATTCTGAAGATGCTTTTTTTAGCACCAAAGTTCAAACTTCCAATTTTTAACAATGAAACAAAGTTGGTTCGACATATTTCCATTATTATGATAAAATGTGTAAATGAAACAATTAATACATGGGTTATTTGTTTGTCAATTTGTTATGCTGGAATCACATGTTTGTTATATATTTATTTAATATTGAAATGGATATACTTGCGTTATCGGTTTTAATTTAACATCAAATGTTTATTAGGATGACATAAATATTAAAAAGAATAAATAAATAATAATAAATAAAAAAATAAAAATAAAAATAAATAAAATAAATAAAAAAAACTAGAAGTATAATTTTTTTTATGGTTCCATGAATCATGCTTCTTGAGTTCTGGGAGCATCTTTATTAAAAGAGGAGTTTTACACACTATTGTAAGACGTCAACTTCACAACTGGCGAAGGAATGTTTTTTATTTTTATTTTTGAAGTCTTTTTGCTAAAAAAAATTATTAAAAAAGAGATCTCATATTAACATGGACATTCTAATTAATTTTTTTTATTATTTTTACTGGTTAAAATTGGATTGTTTTTCGAAAAAGTTGATTATAAACATTGAACAGTTAATTATTGGTTGAGTTTTTGTAAAAATATCAATACGGTGTCTAAATGGTGTCTTATTAACAACACCTAAAAAAATATTGAGAGTTACATAAAACTTGCGGATGAATTTTTTTACTTTTATTTTTGAAGCCTTTGATGAATTTTTTTTACCAAATCTACTTCATTTAGACGTTAATGGGGACCCCTAAGGTTCATAAAAATGTTTGCTTTATGGTCATACTTGCAATATGCATGATCCAACTCATTCTAGGTCCAAAATGGGAAGAATACACATCAATCTCCAATGCATGGCTCATATACACCACTCACTTCCCGATCTAACCAAAATGATGGTCAAGGAGTCCCTGAAATCCATAAAGTTGCCTACTTTATGGGTTTACCTCACTTAAACAAAGCTAAGTATGAAGAGATATGGACCAAAAACCAAGATCTATCTAAATGATAAACAAAGGTTGCACCTTTAGGACTTACAAAGGTTCAACAACAAGTAAAGATGCAGCTGAAGATGATACCAGCAAACTCTACCACTTAGACACTTCTTCTCCTCTTCTTTTCACCATCCACAAGCTATAAATTACACCAAAAGACAAGGGGCATAAAAAATAAATGGCAAAAAAGTTTATGGAGACTAAGGGCATGTAAGAGGTTGAGGGTGAACAACCCTAGCCCTTTCATCTCTTTAAATATCGAACAATTAGGGTTTAGGCCATTAGGCCGCTATTACGTTGTGAGCAACAAGGGCTCACGTCCTGAGGGCCAAAAGATGCGGGTCAACCAAGTCAACTTGTAACATCCTAAAAACACAGTCTGAAAATTTCGTTTAATTTAATAACAAAAATCATAGTCAATAAACCTCATATAAAAATCATAAGCAATTTATCTCAAAATATTGTAACAACTATCAAGTATATCAGAGTATAAACATCCCATGCTAAACAAATGGTGTGTGCACTGCAATCTTCCCGAGCTCCTCTTTTGAAAACTGAGTACCTGAAACCAAAACTGAAAACTATAAGCACAAAGCTTAGTGAGTCTCCCCAAACTACCACATACCATACAATAACATATAAACACATATTGGGCCTTGCCCACTGCATCGGACCGAGTCCGGAAAATGCATCAGACCGAAGTTCGGAACTGACTAGGGCCTTGCCCTCTACATCGGACCGAAATCCAAAAACTGCATCGGATCGAAGTCCGGAACTGACTGGGACCTTGTCCCCTGCATCGGACCGAAGTCCGGAACTAACTGCATCGGACCGAAATCCGAAACTAACTGGGACCTTGTCCCCTTCATCGACCCGAAGTCTGGAAACTGACTGATCATAACATTACATAGCATAAACATATCAACTAGCATAAACACATAGATTGCATACTGCATCGGACCGAAGTCCGGAACACATAACACAAAGACATGCTTGAATCATAAAGACATCAAGCACACTAAACTACTGCATCGGACCAAAGTCCGGAACTACTGCTAACTAGACGGGCTGGCATTGTGGCCGTAGACCCGTTCCTATTGGAAGGAAACTCATCTCACACTGCTGAAGTCCCGCAGACTCAATCCCACACTGCTGAAGTCCCGCAGACTCGACCCTAGCTGCTAAATGACAGATTCCCGATCTGTCAACATCAAAATAACACCCAATTAATAATTGGGTTCCATTACATAACTATAATTACATACTTTAAATAATTACTACATTACCCCAAGCTTGGCTTACCCAAGCCCAAGGTCCAATCCATAGGCCTAAAGTCAACTAGGGATCAAAGCCTAACATATGGCCCAATTTTCCAAATTGGGCCCAAACCTCCACATGGACTTCCCTTAAGGCCCAATTGCTCAATTCGGTCCAACATGTCTCATTCTAATGGCCCAATATCGTACAACCATCTAGGCCCCAACTATGGCCCATCTATGGCCCAATTTTCCAAATTGGGCCCAATCCTTCATATCGGCCTTACCCTAGAGCCCAACTAATTACTCTAATCCATTTAATTATTCTTGGATGGCAACACAAAGCCCAAGTGAAATTAGGTTTTCTCATAGAATAATAATTAGGGTTAAGTGTTTCTTACTTAACCCATTAAGGGCTTAACCCACTAAGGACTTAATTCATTAAGTCCATTATTGCTTAGATTAATTTCTGCCAATGATTATTATTTAATATTTCACTTATTAAATAATTCCCGTGTGCATGTCCTGATAATTTCTCAAATATTAGCATTTTCTCAATTAGCCCATTAAGGATTTAGTCCATTAAGTCCTTTATTCTACTAGATAAATGGCATGAAAGTTTGGGCTTGATTCACAATCCAATCCCAAAGGCCCAAAAGTGGGTCTAAATAAGTCCAAGGCCCAAATACTCATAATTAGGGTTTCCCACCCAAACATGGCCCAATAAGCCCAAAACTAATCCATAAGCCCATTAGGGTTTTGGCTAGGTCCATTAGGGTTTGCTAGCGGGGCACCACCCACTACCACCTCGAGTAGTGGTGGTCTATGGCGGATTACGGTGGTGGTTTTGATTCTTTTCATTAATCCAAAATTCAAGTTACATTTTACAAGGCTAATCTCAATTAACCAAACACACACACTAAACTAATCACGCACACACACACCATGGCGGCCGGTAGCGGTGCTTGGCGGCAGCTACCACCTTACGGTGGTGGCAGTGGATGCTCTTGGGAATTTCGGTTAAACAAAATGCACATACAATCTCATAACTGCTGGAACCGTGATAACACATGAATACACACCCAATACTACACCCACATCCACCTCTCACGGTGGCTAGTGGCGGTGGAAGAAGGAAGAAACGACAACAACGAGATAGCGAACACAATAGCCCCTTTGGGGTGGCGACGATGACCGGAGCAAACAGGAGTGAGTCAGCGGCGGTAGATGGAGCTAGGGGGTTTCATTCGCCACCGGAAACAACCGTGAGTGGCAACTGTCTCGATTTCTCACCACCCATCGGACGAACGTCGGCCTAGCAATCCTTGATTTCGCCGGCAGCAACCAGCATCACTCGAATGGTCGTTCCTATTCCGTCAACGGTGACAAGCACACGACGATAACTAGTCCGACTCCTTTCACTTGTTGCGACGTCCCTACAATCCGGCAGTCTTCATCTTGTCGTCAACATGAGTAACTGGTGGTCATTCAGAGTCTTGGAACTTCGATTGATCGGGAAGGCAAGAGGGGAGTCGGGTGGTGACGGCGGCTGGAGGAGTGGAGGGATAAGGGTGGCGGCCGCTTCTATCATTTAGGGTTAGGGTGTGGCACTCGGTTATGTTGGGTTATATACCTGACTCACGAAACATTACCCCATAATGACAAGTCAAGCCCCTCCTTTCCCTCATTTCTTTCATAATAGACCTCTAAATTACCAATAAACCCTTAAATCTTCAAATATTTTTTTCTATTTAAATCCATAAATTGCTAAACGCACCCTGACCTCCGAAATCCTTTTCAAATTAGTCCCGAACTTTCATTTATTAATTTATTTAAATAAACAGGGCGTTACAACTCTCCCCCACTTAAATTAGATTTTGTCCTCGAAATCATTTATTACCATTCCTTTCACTTCAAACCACTCTAGTAACATGGTCACCATGTTGGGCACACCCTATCCTTTCTAGGGTAGTTGTGACCAATCTTCTTAAATTCCTCACAACAAGATAACATCTACTCCGTCTGAAACCTACTGTCTCAAGATGATCTAAATCCCTGATAGACCACTCATACTTAATCATTATGGTTGAACCCCATGGTAGGTGACTTAGCATTGCTCAACTATCTGATACGCTTACCATAAATGAAATCTTTAATTACCATTACTGTTGGAGACCCAAAACTATCTGAAACAATGATCTGCCTGAAAACACTCAACTGCTTGAAACACTGAATTGCCTATACACTGAACTGTCTGAAACACTACACTACCTGAACGCTGAACTACCTGAATCAGCATGTTGCTACATGGCTGCTTTCCAACATCTATCGAGACCTTCCCGGTCTTGATTCATTTGTTTGTCATCTGGAATACCGGTTTCCAACCCGATCGTGGAGCCAAAGGGCTCCCTACTTAGTCACCTCACACAATTTCTGAGCGAAATTCTTCTATGAAACTACAGCTACTAGTTATCTTGTTACTGCAGCCCTAATAACTTTCTGATCTAACTGACCGAGTCCATACGTCAAATCTAGACGTCACCGAACCCACCGCTAAAAGTGATTGCTACATGGCCATTGGTAGCCTTATGTCATAAATGACCTTATGCAATCCACTGCTTCCTTGCTCTCATCTTTGTAGTGGCGCTTCTACAATTTTATCACTGGCTTAACAAAGTCTAATCGGTCTGGGAAACTACGAAATCCAATCTATGGATTTCCATATCCTCACTGTTATACCCGAACTGGTGGGTACTACTGTCCTTCCCGCATCCTAACGACACACTCACTCTATCTAATAACATAGTGAATGCTACGACTACACCCGTAGAATTACAACACTCTATCACTATCTGCTGCTAGTGAATGCTACGGCTACTCCTGCAAACTTACAACACTCAAACACTATCTGGCTGCTAGTGAATGCTACGGCTATACCCGCAGACTTACAACACTCTAACACTATTTGATGACTAGTGAATGCTACGGCTACACCCGCAAACTTACAACACTCTTACACTATCTGACTGCTAGTGAATGCTACGGCTACACCCGCAGACTTACAACACTCTAACACTATCTGACTGCTAGTGAATGCTATGGCTACACCCGCAAACTTACAACACTCGTTGGTCTCACACTCAGCTGACTCATGTCCTGACTGGAATCCCCAACTGGATTACCAAAGGTTTGCTAGCAAACATTCCGAGAATCCGACCTAATCATTGGCAAGTTTTTCCGAACTTCCATATCACACTCTCCTCAAACCATACAGCCACATGGGTTGTCTTCCTTTCAGCCAAGGATGCAAAACTTATCTTAGTCTCAAAACTGCTCCCGCTTCTGAATCCTTGGGCGATTCTCCCCCACTTTGATTCAGCTAATGCCTTACAACATACCAAACTGGAAGAATTCCCAATCCTTCTCACCACCCATGACAAATCTGCTAGAACTCACGCTTATCCGAGCTAAGGTTTCAACACCAACTAATCCAAAAGATCACGCAACTTCTAAAAATTCGAATAAATCTCCGGTAATAACCCGGTAGACCCAGGAAGCTCCGAATCTCAATTGGATACATTAGAATTCCACTCTGTATCATGGCCTCTATCTTGACTGGATCGACTAGAATATCCTTCTAATTGACAAGGTACCCAATAAATTCCACCCCGCGCAACCAGAACTCACAATTGAAGAACCTTGCGAAAATTCTCTCCCTCTTCAAAGTCCCTAGCACCTCCCTCAGGTGCTTCTCGTGCTTCTCCTCAATCTGGGAATAAACCAAGATGACATTGTACTTTCCTAATCCCACAAGTGCTACACCGAATCTGGTCCTACTGGTCTCTCAAAATCTAATCTGAAATCTTGGGTCTCCTCTCGAGACCCTTTTATATAAACAACTGATCTGGTTCCCTTTTCCTAATGTGCTCCAAGTCCATATCTCGTTCTCAGGCTCAAGAAGTGATATCATTCAGGGTCTTGCACCCTGAGATACTCATGATCTCCCTGCTATCATTCTACAGTATGTTCTTGTAACTTTCCTTCTTCATTTCCTCATCTGTTGCATACTGTGGTACCATATAAGCTCTTTCCCGAGACTTGGCAGTGATCTCTGCCACGGTCTCATTCGTCTGGTGGAGATCTAACAACCATTGTGTGAACTGCTGCGCCTCAATCTCCTGGCACACTTTGCCCTGAATCTGGTCTAAAAGTCATCCCATGACCTAGCATTAACTGCATCATCACACAACTCACTACCGACCTCTTCCTATCAATCTTGTGCTCTATCCCTCAGGATATAGGAAGTAAGTCAGATCTTGTCTCCTTTCGAGACAACTTTTGGTACGAAAAGTGTTGGCAACATCTGCCAACCATTTGCTGCTAACAATGGGGCCCTTAACCCCCATGTCAATCTCAAGCCTCACAAACTTTGAATTCCCGAAACATCAACGTACGGGTCTCTATCATGACTGTTATCTCTGTGCAAAATGCACTCAGCCTCTCATCACAAATCTCTATAATGCTCTCCTTGATCACACTGAGGACCACAGGAGTCTGGTCAATGATAGTGCGTAAAATTCTTGGATGGAATGAACTCCCTCATCTAATCATCAATCTGCCCGGCTCCAGAGTCCGAGCCTGATCCCTCGTCGACACCAGAACTACCATCTGGTCTACCACGTAGCGTCACTATATCGGTAATACACCATCGCTAACATCACAATAATTATCAAAAATCGAGGGATCTCACACACTACAAGTTCCCTGGTCTTATCTCAGCCCTCCTTGATTCGAGTACGAATCCTCTGCTTTTAGTAGTATGGGCCCATACTACCTTCCACATCTATCCGTACTTTCCTCAAGAACTGCCTTGACTCCACCAAGTCACTTCTACTATTACTGATCTCTGTTGCTCTCATCCTAGGCTCGCCCTAGGGAAACTTCTAACTCATCCAAACCAGTCCTCAACTGCTGAAAGTCCCTTCATAATGCCAATTAGCCACCACATGGATACCATCACATGCAACGAGGCTCAGATAATCCTTCGAGTAAGGGACTCATCCCTACAACGGTTAGGACTCAGATAAGAGCTACGTAATAGGGTCAAATCTAATCCTCTAAGATTATTCAACCCTGATTGCATGTGACTTAACGTATCCACCTAATAGCTAACTCCCATCACTCAAAGTCCCACAAAACACAAAGCAAGCAGCATTCAGACAAAGGGAAACTACTCAAGCAATCTATTCTCATAACAAGAAATTATAGTAGCATACAATGTTAAGCTCATACTATTAGGCATAACCTAAACAGGCTATCCTACTACTGTCTACTCAATACTAGCATGCAATTCTCATAAAGTTGAAACACATAAAGCAGGCACATAAGGCATCCTCCTAGATCCTTAGTCCTATACTAGCATGTTGTTCTACTGAGACTGAAGCTGAAAATAAAACTGATAATCATAACATAACTTGTATGGGTAATTTAGGAGTACTTACTTGCGCTCGGTTGATTGCATGCACAACACCTTTTTTTTCTTTTCAAAGTTCTATTCTTTCTAAAAAAAATCGCTTTTTCTAAAACTCTTTTCTTTTCTCAAAACTCGCTTTTTATAAAAATTGATTTACTATTGAAAATTTATATACCACTTCCTTAGTTTGAGTTTAGATACACCCGAAAATGTGTCCGAATCCCTCGAACCAAGGCTCTGATACCAACTTATAACATCCCAAAAACACAGTATGAAATTTTCGTTTAATTTAATAATAAAAACCATAGTCAATAAACCTCATATAAAAATCATAAGCAATTTATCTCAAAATATTGTAACAACTGTCAAGTATATCAGAGTATAAACATCCCAGGCTGAACAAATGGTGTGTGTCCTGCAATCTTCCCGAGCTCCTCTTTTGAAAATTGTGTACCTGAAACGAAAACTAAAAACTGTAAGCACAAAGCTTAATGAGTCTCCCCAAACTACCACATACCATACAATAACATATAAACACATATTGGGCCTTGCCCACTGCATCAAACCGAGTCTGGAAACTGCATCGGACCGAAGTCCAGAACTGACTAGGGCCTTGCCCTCTGCATCGGACCGAAATCCGAAAACTGCATCGGACCGAAGTCCGGAACTGACTGGGACCTTGTCCCCTACATCGGACTGAAGTCCAAAACTAACTGCATCGGACCGAAATCCGGAACTGACTGGGACCTTCTCCCCTGCATCGGCCCGAAGTTCGAAAACTGACTGAGCATAACATAACATAGCATAAACGTATCAACTAACATAAACACATATACTGCATACTGCATCGGACCGAAGTCCGGAACACATAACACAAAGACATGCTTGAATCACAAAGACATCAAGCACGCTGAACTACTCATCGAACCAAAGTCCGGAACTACTACTAACTAGACGGGCCGGCATTATGGTCGTATACCCATTCCTACTGGAAGGAAACTCACCTCACACTGCTGAAGTCCCACAGACTCAATCCCACACTGCTGTAGTCCCGCAGACTCGAACCCAGCTGCTAGATGACAGATTCCCGATCTGTCAACATCAAAATAACACCCAATTAATAATTGGGTTCCACTACATAACTATAATTACATACTTTAGATAATTACTACATTACCCCAAGCTTGACTTACCCATGCCCAAGGTCCAATCAATAGGCCTAAAGTTAACTAGGGATCAAAGCCCAACATATGGCCTAATTTTCCAAATTGGGTTCAAACCACCACATGGACTTCCCTTAAGGCCCAATTGCCCAGTCCGGTCCAACGTGTCTCATTCTAAGGGCCTAATATCGTACAACCATCTAGGCCCAAACTATGGCCCATCTATGATCTAATTTTCCAAATTAGGCCCAATCCTTCATATGGGCCTTACCCTAGAGCCGAAGTAATTACTCTAGTCCATTTAATTATTCTTGGATGGCAACACAAAGCCCAAGTGAAATTAGGGTTTCTCATAATATAATAATTAAGGTTAAGTGTTTCTCACTTAACCCATTAAGGAATTAATCCATTAAGCCTATTATTGCTTAGATTAATTTCTGCCAATGATTGTTATTTAATATTTCACTTATTAAATAATTCCCATGTGCATGTCCTGATAATTTCTCAAATATTAGCATTTTCTCAATTAGCCCATTAAGGATTTAGTCCATTAAGTCCTTTATTCTACTAGATAAATGGCATGAAAGTTTGGGCTTGATTCACAATCCAATCCCAAAGGCCCAAAAGTGGGTCTAAATAAGTCCAAGGCCCAAATACTCATAATTAGGGTTTCCCACCCAAACATGGCCCAATAAGCCCAAAACTAATACATAATCCCATTAGGGTTTTGGCTAGGTCCATTAGGGTTTGCTAGCGGGGCACCATCCACTACCACCTCGGGTAGTGGTGGTCTATGGCGGATTACGGTGGTGGTTTTTGATTCTCTTCATTAATCCAAAATTCAAGTTACATTTTAGAAGGCTAATCTCAATTAACCAAACACTCACACTAAACTAATCACGCACACACACACCATGGCGGCCAGTAGCAGTGCTTGGCGGCAGCTACCACCTTACGGTGGTGGCAGTGGATGCTCTTGGGAATTCCGGTTAAACAAAATGCACATACAATCTCATAACTGTTGGAACCGTGATAACACATGAATACACACCCAAGACTACACCCACATCCACCTCCCATGGTGGCTAGTGGCGGTGGAAGAAGGAAGAAACGACAACAGCGAGATAGCGAACACAATAGCCCCTTCGGGGTGGCGACGATGACCGGAGCAAACAAGAGTGATCCAGCAGCGGCAGATGGAGCTGGGGGGTTTCATTCGCCACTGGAAACAACCGCGAGTGGCAACTGTCTCGATTTCTCACCACCCATCGGACGAACTTCAGCCTAGCAATCCTTGATTTCACCGGCAGCAACCAGCATCACTCGAATGGTCGTTCCTGTTCCATCAACGGTGACAAGCACACGACGATAACTAGTCCGACTCCCTTCACTTGTTGCGACGTCCCTGCAATCCGGCAGTCTTCAGCTTGTTGTCAACGTGAGTCACCGGTGGTCATTCGGAGTTTTGGAGCTTTGACTGATCAGGAAGGCAAGAGGGGAGTCGGGTGGTGACGACGGCTGGAGGAGTGGAGGGATAAGGGTGGCGGCCGCTTCTATCATTTAGGGTTAGGGTGTGGCACCCGGTTATGTTGGGTTATATACCTGACTCACGAAACATTTCCCCATAATGACAAGTCAAGCCCCTCCTTTCCCTCATTTCTTTCAAACTAATCCGTATTTTACACTTTTAACCCTACCTTCAGAAATCTTTACAACTGAATCCAAAACTTACCTTTTAAGCTGTGATCCCATAAATTTCTTTCATAATAGACCCCTAAATTACCAATAAACCCTTAAATCTTCAAATATTTTTTTCTATTTAAATCCATAAATTACTAAACGCAACCTGACCTCCGAAATCCTTTTCAATTTAGGCCCAAACTTTCATTTATTAATTTATTTAAATAAACAGGGCACTACACAAATTAGCTCACAATGTGAGAATCATTCCTTACGTGGTGAGTTCAGCCAAAAGTTTGAAATGATTAGACTTCAAGGTAGTGCCTCAAAACAGATGTTACAATTATTCGAGACCATATCTGGTATTTCTTGGGCTGCACTTCCCAAATATTGAACTAATGAGGATGTTGGAACGGTCCTTTTAGGGATCTTAACATTCCTTTTTTATGAGGTGACAATAGAGGTAGGGGTATGCTCTGACCAATGGAGATGGATGGAATAGTGCTAGAAGTGGATTTTGGTAAAGAAGACATATTTGGTGCAAAAGTGTGTAAATTAAGCAAATTAGTAAGTGTGGTGTGATATTTGAAAAAGATGTTAGAGACTAAAGTGCTTAAGATCCTGAAATATACCGAAGATCTTGGTTGTGCCAAAGATCCTAGGTAGAAAACAATAATGCTAGAAAAAATATTAAGTTAAAGTGTAGTAATTTGATATGTAAAAGAGTTTGTCTAGGACGAAAATAGTATCAAAGTAATTTAATAGGTGGATTTGCATAATAAATTTTAATATACTTGAAAAGCTATCAAGATACCACAATATATCTTGATAATTTCTACATTGAAAACATGTTAACAATTAAGAAAACAATGAAATAGGTGTATGTCGATCAAACAATAGTAAGTAAATCAAAATAAATGCAAGAACATAGAAAATTACGAGGAAAGCCCTTAATCTTTTTGGATCGCCTACATAAAACCTCAGGAGGTAATGGAATCATATGCCTTATAACTTATATTAAATCGAAGCAAAGTTACAAGTGCTAGCTGATCTTAGAAATGGTGTAAATGTGCTCAAGGGTCGAGAGACTCAAAGTAGAAGTAGTAGTGGAAGTATGTGTATTTGTGTATGAATGTTGATCGACTAGTCTTTACATACAAAAAAAATAATAACTATAATTATGATATTTTTGGATTCTCCTTGATCTTTTCTTGACTCAACTTTCTTAGGGTCTCCAATGTTCATGAGGCATTGACTACATGAGGTTTGACTTGGTCTATTCCTTTCTAGTCAAGCTTTAAGTTCCTACATAAGATATCACAAGAAAATGTGATGACAATCCTATATATTGATTAAATCCAATATCATGGGTTTACACGAAATATTAGTACAAGTTAAAAATATAGTAAGTGAAAAATTCTACCTACAACAATATATATATATATATATATATATATATATATGTGTGTGTGTGTGTGTGTGTGTGTGTGCGTGTGTGTGTGAATGTATAATTACAAGTTATAATTAGACTATGACTTCATTATGGATGAAAAATAGTTTTGTTGGAATGAGGTCCAAGGAAAACATAATAGCACAATTTACTACAAATAAGAATACACTGCTACTTTAGAAGCTGCGATTGAATATGATTGGATGAATAAGTTCATTGAAAAACTAGATTGAGTTCTTCCTGTCAAGGATAACGTAGAAATATTTTATGACTTCAATAGTATACTTAATCAAGTCATTCATTTAAACTAAGCATGAATGGTCAATCTTGAGTTATAATACTTTGTTATTCTAGAAATAGGATTTTATTTGGATTTACTATGTGGATACTGGAACATTGTGACAATAACTATTATATTGTTTTGATATATTAGGATATGATCTTCACATTAATAATTATTGTATTCTATATTAACATGTTTAATCTATGAATAATCTAGTGATTCTAAAAGTTCATATTCAGTTTTAATTATGGGAGCAATTATGAAGTAAAACTAATATGAATTAAATCGATAGACCACCGTAAGATGAACGTAGGCAATAGGTTGTAATCAAGCTTCATAGGTACTTGTTAGAGAACAAGTATTGGACACGACCCACATTAAGATCACCTAATAGATTGTTATTATGAGTGATACTTGATAAAATGAACTATCTTTGTATCATTAATACATGAGATACATATAGGGAGTTAAGTGTGGGGAATATTATATTTTGATTTTTCTAAATGTTGATATTTAAACATGCAATTATAAAGGCTATGATCAGGCATGGTATGAACTATATAAGAGGCTTATGTAGTCAAGATGAGATTTATTCCTCTTATGTGTTGAGAGCTAGACATCTAACATATGTTACCTAAAGTTGAACACCAAAAGGGATTGATTGTAATCCAAATCTCATGTTCAACAAGATGTCTATAACAAAGGGATAACTGATAAACTTACCTTATACATTAGTTATAACTTTAAGATTTTGGGAATTGGATGTTGATGAATGACATTCTTCGTCGTGTGTTATTGGGGGCCATAAAATATTGCTAAACGTTCACAATTGTCTATATCAATTTATGATGAGTCTTGTGTAAGTGGGAGATTGAAAGATCTTTATACCCAAGAGTCATTATAGAATGATATTTTCTAATGACGTATGATCCTATATAAGCACACCTTATAGCAAGTTACTACTAATTGATTATTTATTGATGTAATTTTTATTAATAAATATAATCAACACTTGTATTTAATTGGAAAGTTATTATATTATGAAAATAATATTTTAACAATTAATTAGGAACTTATTATTTCTATAAAATGATAATAAAAGAGAGCAAAATTGTTATGTTCATAAGGTATACGCAACTAGCTAGTTTGTAAGATAGAGTGCAACACACTCTTGGTTGGTGCTTACATACTCAATCTGTCAACCTCATGGAAGAGGTTAGTGATTTTGTGTTGGCTTCTTCTTTCACTACGCACACTCTTACAAAGTATGTCTGATGCATTAAATAAAAGTATGAAATTCACCACACGCATGCAACTATATAACGGATCATATGTTAAGATAAAGAGCTAGTTTTTCTTCTTATTTTCTCCTTAAAGTCGTAGCTTTTAGGAGTTCTTTCCCCTCTCTCTCATTTACAATTTGGTGAATAGTTATAAGTTGCTTCTCCTTAAGACTTATTTGATATATGTATTAAGGCTTAAGAACAACTTAATACAAGTGAAGAATAACATGTTTTAGTAGTTAATCATTGCTTGGTGAATACTTATAGAGAAGCTTTACTTTGAGTTGTTTGTCATCTTCATCAACTTCTAACCATGAAGAAGAATCAAAGTCTTCAAATATTGTTGTTTCTTTTTCTTTCTATAGATGTTTTAATATTTCCGTGATTTACAAGATGATCATTGGTGGGTTAAAATTGTTTTAAATTTAAACAAATTTTAAAATATTTCCATTGATAATCTCGTAATTTTGGCTATTTAATTAAACTATTTTCGAATAAATCCAAGAAATATGTTATGTCACGAGTCATGTAAGCTCTCGTTAAAAAACATATAAAGAACATAGCAATTCAACATTTTGTAACGATCTTTCCTTTCATAATAATTAAATGCTTAGCAAAAGCATGTGTCATGAAATATAATAATCATAAAAAGATTTTAAAAGTTTATTGTTGTTAACACCCGGAATTGATTTTTTTGTATCATTATTACACCATGAGATTTGGTGTAGAAGTGTAAAAGCTCATCCCAAACTAAATTATCACATTTGTTGTAATGTTTTATAAGTTTGTTAACTAGTTTTTGAAAGTTTTTGTTTTCTTTTGGACTTTTTAGTTTTCTGATCAGAAAAAACACAAATTAAAAAAAATAGTTTGGAAATATATGTTTAAAGCCTTTATTTTAAACAAAAAATTGTTAATACAAAAGCTTTCAAAATGTATAGATATGTAGGTTAAATTATATATATATATATATATATATATATATATATATATATATATATATATATATATATATATATATTATATATATATATATATATATATATATATATATATACTCTAAAAGTATGTCTTATAATTAATTATTTAACTCTTACAAATAAAAAATGCGATAATTAATTTTTACGTTTGGATAAACCGCATTCAATCAGGATTTGTGAGAATTTAGGTTAGAATAAAAAATTTGATAATTGGTTTTATAATTAATTATGCCTTTTTTCATTAATTTTGTACATCCGCCGTTTTAAAAAAAAAAAAAAAAAAAAAAAAAAAAAAAAAAAAAAAAAAAAAAAAAACGAATATCATAATGAGAACTTTTCAGTATAAAAGCGATGTTTTTAGCCTAGGTTTGTTAACCATAAAATTCCACCATCACACCCACACATAAAACCCCACCACATCTTCTCCCATAATAGAATCTCCCAACACTCAAACCGATAACCCATCGTCCACCCCCATTTCCATCTCCATCTCCGGCCACCACTCCATGCCTTCCGACCACCACCAGCAGTTACTCGATTCCGACGACCGAGAAACCTCCTACGACCAAACTGAGAAAATCCACATCGTCGGAGTAGATGACAACGATGATGACTACACTCACGCAACGCCACCGTTCTCATGGCGGAAGTTATGGCTGTTCACCGGACCTGGTTTCTTAATGAGCATAGCCTTCTTGGATCCGGGTAACTTGGAGGGTGACCTTCAGGCTGGTGCGATTGCAGGGTACTCATTGTTATGGTTGCTTTTGTGGGCCACTGCTATCGGACTTCTTGTTCAACTTCTTTCGGCTCGACTCGGTGTCGCCACCGGAAGACACTTGGCGGAGCTGTGTAGGGAGGAGTACCCGAACTGGGCGGGGAAGTTGTTGTGGATCATGGCGGAGCTTGCTCTGATCGGAGCTGATATTCAAGAAGTTATCGGAAGTGCAATTGCTCTCAAGATTTTGACAAATGGGTTTTTGCCCCTTTGGGCTGGTGTTCTCATAACTGCCTTCGATTGGTAAATTTTTAACCTTTTTTCAACTTGTTCATATTTGGTAGCATCTTAATTCCATTCAAGTGATTCAATTAGTTGAATTTGCCAAAATATTGTCAAAGAAATAAAGATTTAATCTTTTCTTTGGTAATGCCTCTTTAACGCCATGTTCTTGAGTAAAGAAAGCTTCTTGAAACTTGAAAATTGTCATCTTTCTAGGTTGTGGTTTTAGATTTCGCTTCTGGGATCTTTCAGAAAATAAAAAAACTCGATTTGGGTGTTCCTCAAATTATGATTTTGTTTCGGGGTTTTTTCGTAATTTGGTTCTTTGGATGAAGATTTAGGGTTCTTGTTCTTAATTGTGCAAAAAAGATGTCTACTTTATCTTGCATTTTGTGATGGTTTGTATTAGGGTTTGTCAAATCACTGTTTTGATTAATTTATTTTCTTCTCTTTCGATCTTGATTGCAGTTTCATCTTTCTATTTCTTGAAAACTATGGCGTGAGGAAATTAGAGGCCCTTTTCGCAGTTCTCATAGCAGTAATGGCGATTTCATTCGCATGGATGTTCGGTGAAACGAAACCCGATGCCAAAGAGCTTCTCATTGGTATAAAATTTCTTTCATTTTTTTCCAACTTCTTTCAAAAAACCCCCTCAATTTTCATGTTTTTTCTTTTAATTTCCTTTTCTAAGGTATCGTGGTTCCGAAACTCAACTCAAAAACAATCCAACAAGCAGTAGGAGTGGTCGGCTGCATTATAATGCCTCACAACGTGTTCCTACATTCCGCACTCGTCCAATCAAGAGAAGTTGACCCAAGAAAAACGGGTCGGGTCAGGGAAGCCCTAAGATACTATTCAATCGAATCCACTATCGCACTTGCTATTTCCTTTTTCATAAATCTTTTAGTAACAACCGTATTTGCAAAGGCCTTTTTTGGAACTGGAATAGCCGATAAAATCGGGCTCGGGAACGCGGGTCAGTTTCTTGAAGAAAGATTTGGCGGCGGGGTGGTGCCGATTTTGTATATTTGGGCAGTCGGGTTGCTGGCAGCCGGGCAGAGTAGTACAATTACGGGCACCTATGCCGGGCAGTTTATTATGGGCGGGTTTCTTGATTTGAGATTGAAGAAATGGGCTCGGGCTTTGATTACTAGAAGTTGTGCTATTGTTCCTACTTTGATTGTTGCTTTGACTTTTGATGGTTCTGAGGATACTTTGGATGGTCTTAATGAATGGCTTAATGTGCTTCAGTCGGTTCAGATTCCTTTCGCTCTCATTCCATTGTTGTGTTTGGTGGCTAAAGAGGATCTCATGGGCGTTTTCGTAATTGGACGTTTTCTAAAGGTACAAACTTTAAATTCTTGCTATGGTAAACATAAAATTTGGCGAAATCCTATGAAGATCGATATAAAATTTAATTCCAATGTGGATTATAGTCTCCGTGTAGGCTTTGTATCTTTTGTTGCCATAGTGGACCACTGTATACCTGATAACATGACGTTGGCATTGTATCTTTTGTTGCCGTAGTTGACCAGTGGACCACTGTGTACCTGATTCACATAACGTTTTGGATTTTTCTAGAAGAATAACTCTTCTAGAAAAATTATAATCCCAAAAATGTGTCATTTCTTTATTTGTTTTCATAATATATATGTTCATTCGATTTTATTGGCATGACTTGCAGACAATCTCGTGGCTTGTGGCGGCTTTGGTGATCGCAATAAATGGTTACCTATTACAACAATTTTTTGCCGAAGAAGTAAGCGGGCCCGCGTTTACTTCTACAGTCGTCATTTTCACGGTTGCATATGTTGCATTCATAGTGTACCTTATATGGCGAAGTGTTGTTGGTTCCACATTCGGTTTCTTTAAACTTGGAAGCCAATCAACATAATAACAAGTTCTCAAAATTTTAATAATGAGACAACTTCATTAGCATAATGTAATGTAGGAACTGAAAATCTTGAATCATGGAAGTAGCAAAGATGTTGTAGTCATTATTTATAGTCATGAATGTGTTCTTAAGAGTAAATGGAAGATGTGAAAACGATATGAATGAATAATTCAAGTTGATTTTCAAAGATTTGATAGATCTTTAATAGTTGTTACTTATATCATCTACTTGCCTACTTGTTGGCAGCTTGATGTATTGCATTAGGTATTTGATATTTGTATCAAAGAATTTTATGGTTTTACATGTTTGTTGAAAAAGAAATCAGAACGTTACACAATTGCCTTGATGCATAACAATTCTATATTTGTTCTTCATAGGCAACATCATTTTTACAGTGTAGACGGTTATAAATTTGATCAATCCTCAATATAAAATAGGTTTTGTTGATAGTTCAAAAATATTAATGTAGTTTGTATTTTATAAACTTTAGGACGTGGAATATCAAGTGGATTGGTCGGCATTTTCCTTGCACCTTCCTTCCATGAGTGGACAAATATACACCCAATTGAAGTATTGATGATATTTTCAAGGAAAAGAAATTTATAATTTTGAGGTTTTAATTTTGGTTAATCACCACTGCCATCGCAAAATGACTTTAAAAAAAAACTTAGGTTGAAAGAACCATTAATCTTGCAAAATGATATTAAAATTACTTTAATTTCTAAAACTATATTTCTGATAAAATAATATGTTTTTTTTAAACGATGATTTTATAAATAACGAGAACCCCACCAAAAAGAACGAGGCGGGGAAGGAAAACAATCAAAAAAACTTACAAAATATTAAAATGGGAACAAGCCGGATCGTTCCAATTACAAAGATCAAAATTATCCCTACACTTAACCCAGTTGAACACCGAAGTCATGATATGATCCGTCGTTTTGGTAGGAGAAATAAAAGTGTTATTAAAGAGTTTGTTATTTCTAGCTCTCCCCACGTCCCAAAAAAGACCATAAATAATCCTGACAAGAATCATTCTCTTATTAGGGCAACGACCCCAATTGTCAGCAAAATCCATGACCTCTTAACATAATTGAAGCTTTGAATGGGGATGTCACACCATTTAAAAATCCAGAAAATGACCTCCTGTGCATATGGACATCAACCAGAATGTGATCGCTGGAGTCGGTGCCAGTAGAGCAAGAAGTCACAAGAGGTTGAAGAGATAAAAACATGGCAGTGACGGACGGAATACATTCTAGACAAGCTCTCCAAATGAAACAGGTAACATATTTAGCAAAATAGTTGGGTTGTCGATTCCTCGAGTAAGCTTAGAATCAATGACATATCTGAGATTATTAACATATAATTTTCCATCTGTGGAAAGAGTAGAAGTTCACGCATTTACATCGTTAGAGAGGATGACATTAATAAGAATGTTGCGGAATTGATCCAACTCCAGAAGTTCAATCGGCTGTTGTGGGGTTCTTTTCCAGCTCCATGTGAAACCTAAATCGGAGAGTCTATTAGAAACGAAACAAGCTTTTCTGGAATCAAGGGTATAGAGGTGGAGAAATCTAGTAGCGAAAGGCCCCCCGCCAAATCAGTCATCTGATGGGTTTAACACAAAATAACATCCTATGTGCTCATGCAAACCCTATAGCTTAGATCTAGGTTTCTTTATTGTACATGCAATTCATCCAAGACTTACAAACCCTAGATCTAGCATACATATTTCGAAATTAACATAAGAAAACAGATCTAGATGATTACCTCTTGAACAATGGCTTGAATCTTCTTGTCTTGGAGCTTAGAGTCACAAATGTCACTCCTTTAATGGCTTACAAACACCACACAAGCAAGAGGATGATATGAGAGAGGGGAGAGGCATAATTTCGGCTATGAAGGCTCTTAGGGTTCAAGTGGGCGAAAATTAGAAGCCTTAGGGTCTTATTTATACTGGTGCTACTAGGGTTTCAGTCTAAACCCTAATGGACAGCTTAGGCCTTAAGCAATCCAATGAAGCTTCTAGAATAAGGCCCTTATGGCCGAAATTAGGATGGATACATCCCTAATTTCGTCAATGCCTAGTCTAAGAGGCTCCTCAGCCCAAAACTCAACTTTCATACATTTGACAGTTTAAGTCCCCTTTATTTAATTAATGTCTTTTAGCCACATAATTAATTCTTAATTAATTCTTGTCTAATATTAATCAAACTATATGATTTATCCTTTAATATATTATTCATATAATATATTAATAAACCATATTAACCTCTCTATTCATAAATCACCCTATCAAGTTGATTTGGTGAAGGCAACCCAAAAGGACCATGCACAACCAGGTCAACTACTTACCAAATACAGTTACGGGCTTAGACACTAATCCAACAGTCTTCCACTTGGATAAGTCTAGTAACTACAAATGTAAATACAATCCGATTAGCAATTGTAGCTCTCATAGACACTGTCGAACTGTGATCTCATCAATAACATGTCCTTCAGATAAGGGATCGTGTAGTCCTCTGTTCTAGATATCGTGTGGACAATTACATGGAACATAGTCATACTTATTGTCCAGCTATTTGTTTCTCGATCTCCGATCCATCTGACATAGAACTTAATTAAACACATCAATTCAGTCTTGACCGGGCCCAACACATAAGTTAAACCAAATCATCGAGGGACCTTGATATCGCTTTTATCCTCTTAGGATAAAAGGAACAGATAAACTTCGACTTATATGCATTTACCATTCACTAATCAAATCATACACAACAATGCGTTTTATAACATCAAGTTACTGATGCGTTTACGCATTATCGATACGCAACCAATTAGCAAACAATAAACCTTATATCTAGGTTTTAAGACCATATTATATTATCGTCTTGCGATCACTCGTGATAAATTCCATGAAGTGATTCCAGCAAGCGTGGGTTTATTCTAATGTTCAAATCTTATTCATAAGCGCTCATGAACATTGCATAAAACGTTCGTTATGTCTAATACACTTTATACATTCTACACACCAATTCTTAACATTCTTCATTCAAACTTACTTCCAACATATGAACGACTGTGGACCGTTCGAATAAATTTATTATTCAGGAAGTCAAAACATGCAAAACGAAACAATAGGTAAACAATTAACATAAGACAATAACTTTACTAATAAATAATACCCATTTATTTAATCATCGAATGTTAATTACAATTTATATATCACACATTTCTAAACTATATAATCTAAACTAATATCATCCTTCAGGCCAATGCTTCTAGCATGTTGCAAGTGCTTAACCCTACTCAGTCCCTTCGTAAGCGGATATGCTGGGTTATTTTCCGATGATACCCTCTTCACTACGAGGAGTCCTTCTTCTACCCGATGTTGAATAAAGTGATATTTTTTTTGTTGATATGTCGAGATCAACTATGATCCCTTGGTTCCTTGGTCAAGGCAACTGCTCCTTCATTATCACAGAAAATTTCCATAGGCTCCTGTATGGCTGGCACAACTCCAAGGTCTCCAATGAAGTTCTTCAACAATATTGCCTCGTTTGACGCTTCGCTCGCTACAATGTACTCTGATTCGCACATTGAATCAGCTACGGTCTCTTGCTCGGAACTTTTCCAAGGCACTGCACCTCCATTATGGGTAAAGACCCATCCCGACTGCGAACATAGTTGTCTCTGTCGGTCTGAAAACTGGTGTCATTGTACCCTCTCATTTTTTACTCATCACTCCCACCGAGGACTAGAAACCATTCATTGGTCCTCTGAAGGTACTTAATAATATTCTTGACTGTGGTCCAATGTGCTTTGCCAGGGTTCCCTTGATATCTGCTGACCATGCTCAAAGCGAAGGCCACATCAGGACGAGTACAAGTCATAACATGTATGATCGAGTCAACTACAGAAGCGTAAGGTACTCGACTGTCACACCCCCAAACCGGAACGGCGGAAACGTTCGGGGGCGGATGACTTCATGTGGTAACGTAACAAATGAATACATAGTAAAGAAAGCAATACAACCATCATATATATAATTGAAAGTTTACATTGTTTAAAAGAGTACATGTTCAAAACCAATTACAATATGATGTCAAAATATGAATTTAAACTAGTGTCGCAACGTTCCTTCTTCAAAAGCTGTTTAGTACCTATAATTACTGAGTCCCTAGGACATACAAGTAGTTTTGAAAGAGTAGATCAGCATTTAAGCTGGTGAGTTTCATAAGCATTTAATGATAGTGTTTGTATGAAAATGAAATGGTTCGTTTTTGTCGTTAGACTCTAGAAAATCCCATATTTCCTACTGGTATAAATGTAGCCTTAAATCAAGACCAATATATGTTAAAAAGTTGATGTTTTTCCATCTATGAGTGGTGGTTAGAAGTTCCAAACTTATATCACAAATGGGTTTTTCATGCATAAAATAAATGAACTTATGTATGTATAAAACCTCCATTATATCTGGAAACCCCCGTAAATCAATGTATTTTTAATACTCTATGTGAGTTTTATAACCATGCTATTGACAAGGAATGCCTATACCCAACGTTCTTCAGGCGTTGGAATGTTCTGACGTTTGTCACCCCAAATGGTGGACTGTAGCTAACAGTCAGGGCGTGGATTGTCAAGCCCGTATAGATCTATACACAAACAGCATGCTCCCTCTCCAAGGGATTCTGGTATATAATACAGGACTTGAAATGTGTACTCGAACATACGTGAAGGTGATGTCTCACAAAACTTAGTATAAAACATTTTTACGTGTGAAAATGTTCGTTCGTTATTGTATATGAAAGTAGCTTCTTGAAATAGTATTTCCATGTATGTAAAAGTTCGTAGTATTCTCGTAAAACTATACCTATTATAATTTCCTAAAAGTGTGTTTCGTTTGTATAATAAACTCTTAGTGAAAATGTTCACTTGTTATGAAAAGTGTAGTTTTTGTAGTGCCAAAACCGACACACATAAATATAGTATAAGCAAAGTGTCTGACTTATATAAATACATAAATCATTTCTCATTTCAAAAGATAAAATGTTGTCGTGATATAATTTGCATATGAAAGTTTCCCTATAATAGTTATAAATCACATATGATTCCTTTGATAAAACGTGTATAGTGATAGTTTATATAATACACAATAATAATCGAGTGTTTTACTTGTATTCCCCCCACCCCCTTAAAAGCATATAAAAGTACTCATAAAACATTTAAAAGTGTGAATTATAGGGGTATGAACTCACTTGAAAGATCGGAGGATGCGGGATGAAAACCGGACAGAATTTCGACTCGAGAAAGTGGATTTCCTTGGGATTCTTAGGAATCTCGGGAGCACAAACAACCTTCGGGACTTGAGCAAAGTGATCGGGGCTTCGGGGTAGCATGGGCATGGACAACGAGGCAAGAACGCAAGAGAAATGAGAGAAATGGTGTCTTTTCTTCGGATCCTCGCATCCCTTTTATAGGGGCTGGGAACCGACCTCGTACGCAGGGCGTACGCGTGCGTCACGCATGGCCGAATCCTCGACTGCCTCGAAGCTCGGATGGGACGGGGCATAGCCT